ATCCTTTTAAGGATTAATTATTTCATATTTGAGACTTCATTGATCTTTCTTGTTATTTGTACTTCTTATACCTATTAAAGATAGATTCACAATATTTTGAATCAATATTATAACATTTATTTAGCATAATTATTTAATATAATAACAAAAAGTTGTATTTAAAATTGCAAAAAAAAATGTATTTTCTAGCAAACATAACTTGTTTTATGTGCATATGAAGCACTAACCCAGACCTCCAAAAGTATCTATAAAATGTACTCACAAAAAAAACTAAATCACATATTGGTATTGAAATAAATGTTTAAACATCAAAAAGTTAGATAATTTACAGATTATTTACTAATGTGTAAAGAATAACTTCAAGCAAGTGATGGAACTCCAAAATATGTAATTGTTTTAGTGTGTGTTCAATAACTTCACCATTTGTATGTAAATTTAATTTCCTAATCAAAGCTTAAAATGGTTTAAGTATATGAAATTTGGTTTTAGAGATATCTAACAATTTATTTATGCAGAACCATTTGGGTAAACTTTCTAAAATATTGTTAATGTGTATCTCCATAAAGTTCAATGCTTAAATATTAATTCAGATTTGGAATATCACTTGAACAGGGTGAAATAAAATTGGACCCAAAGTTTATATTTACATAATGTCAAAAAAAATTATTTATGTAATTTGATAGATAATTATTAAACATGTGTAACAACAATTCTGTAATATACTGTTTTATAAGTCTTGCTACAAAAGCTTTATAACTGATCAAATCTAATGCTTTAGTTAAATCAATCCATTAATCAAACTTTTTTTTTCTTCTGATATTTCTGTAAATCTACACGAGATGTTTGAAAATTATCATTATTTTAGAATGAAAAATGACACTTTGATTTACATGTAATTCAATATGCACCTTATGTATCCACAGCTCTCTTTAGTGCAGAAAATTTCTTTATTAGCCGCATTTCTCAAAATGTTGAAGTCATTAAATTTAATGTTATTGTTACAGTCTTGCAAACATTAACAATCCAAATACAATTTTAATATGATTTTTATATATAAATAGATCACCTGTTCTTATAATTAGTTCAGCTCTGGACTTTTTTGGCTCATCTGAGAAAACATTGTGTAAGTGAGTTATTACAAGTTTCAATCACTATAAGAGTAATTAATATAGTTGAATCACATATCAACTTATAATTGATTTTGTGCCAAAAGATTTGGTAATTTTAAGTTTTGATTACTACTTCAAATACTTGTACCAAATGCACTTAGTTAGTACAATGACACATTTGAATTTGCTCTACAATTTTAGCTGTGGGTACATTATGAAAATAATACTCAATATTATTACTTTGATTCAAAGTCTTTGTAATGGCAGGTGCCTTTTCTTTGGTTAGTAGTTCAAAATAAGAAATGGTTATACCCGAACCTTAAGGGCCATTTAGTTGATCTCCATATAAGGTGTCCAAGCTGAAAACGTCAATAATTTTACTGAAGTGATAAATGTAATTAAAAGCTATCAGTTACAATCACATGTATTACAATAATATTTTACAGAAATTTTTCTACCCAAATTAATTTTGATATTTATTAATAACAAGTAATATTTTCTGAATTGTATTCATAGAAATTTCAAGTCTTGATTAATGCAATTTTCACAGAAAAATAATTATGATGTTACCCATTAATAGCCTAATAGTCATGTTAATATGCTTGTTTATCCCTCCCCTTTTTATTTATACATACACAATCTCGCACAAATACTAAGAGGTCAAATCTTTTAAAATGGTTTCCTGGTACATTTTGAAGAAATTTTTTTTTTTTCAATGATTATTATATTTTAATGTTTGTCAACTCCACATCATCTTCATTAAAACAATCAAATTGCTGTTCTCAGTTGAATGTCTAGAACTGTGTTTCTTATAACCATGGTAATCATGAACAATTTACAATGTAAATGAAGTTGAATATCTTGTTGCAATCCAAATTTTACATGTCCCAGGATCAAAGTTGGTCCCTCTCCTCTTGGTCTTAGTTAATTGCCTTTAAATAATAACAATGAACAATGATGTCACACTCACCTAAGACGTATTCATGTACACTCAATCGGATAAGTGTTTTGATATTTGGATGTTTGTTTTCATGAGTTTTTAGTTATCTTTTTGTGAAAACAATGTAACCTGTAGGTGGCAAGAGCAAATTAATTGATAAACTATACATGCAACTATGGGGGCAATGCCACAGATGCAGATAGTTTAACTCCCTATTGACTCAGTGCTAAATATGAGGGCTTATAATGCTAAAAACTTGGATTTCAATACTCACAGTGGGCACAGCACAAATAGCCTATTATGTAGCTTAGCACTTAATAACAAACAAAACAGAAAGTTTAGGAATTTTATATTGTTGATTGTTTAATGAAGTTCTGATTATTTAAAAAAAATATTGATAATATTATCTGTCATTCCACTAGAAAAAACTTTCTTTCTGAAGAACTTGTGTTATACATTTTTTTTTCTTTGAGGCCTGAGTTTGTTTACAACAACTGGAGCAACTTAGATGCTGACACATCATCAGTTATTTTTGAACAAATTGACCTGATAGTTCCCATCTCCTTTCCAAGTAGCTGACATTAATTTGACAGTGAAAGGCAGCTAGTCAACACCACTAATTCTTGGGATACTCTTTTTACCAAGAAATAGTGAGATTGACTTTAACATTATAATACCCCCACAGCTGAAAGGGTAAACATGTTTGGTGACAGGGATTTGAACCCATGATCTGCAGATTGTAAATTGAGGATCCTAACCATCTGGTGATGCCAGGCCTGTCAGATATTTAATGTTAAAAATTTATTGACAATTTTATGCATCAAGGTGTTACTCAGTTTTTTTAACAATAATAACATTGGTATAAAACTTTCACAGTTGAACTAAAGAACTATGAATATCTTCTTTGATAGATTGTTTAGGCAGAGTATTTATAATGAGTAAACTGGAATGGACAGCAACTGCCTGTTGTTAAAATACAAGTGTAAGAGGATGACATTTCGAAAGTCTTCCAACTTCAGACAGAAGACTTTCAAAATGTTGCCATCTACACTTGTGTTTTTACAATAGTACAACAGGCAGCTGCCATCCATTCCGGTTTACTCATTATGAATATCTTTTCATGGCATACTTCCTACCAGAATTTATCATTGTATTTATGAACTAAAGTATCTAGAACTGCATGTTGGTAGAGGCTGGGAAATGAAAGTTTGTAGTAAGTGGACTGTGAATTCGATAGTTCATGGTTTACAGCCAGTTTCTGCAGAAACACACTTAGCATTTTTGAGTTGTTTATGCTTTGTAAGAGTGTTGGTCAGATCTCATTTTTCAGTCAGATAAAAGTAGCCCAAGACTTGATGATGGGCACTGTTGACTAGCTTCCTTCTATCTATCTAGTCTACCACTTCAAAATTAGGGATGGCTATACTCAGATAGCCTTTTGTGTAGCTTTGTGGATTTCATTATTTATAATATTTCATTTTTATTGCATGAATAATATCCAGTATATGACGGGTATTTTTCTCGATTTATAATTTATTTTTAGTCTTCCTTAGATTTCTAAACAATGAGTTTATCACATTATCATTACAAGACGTTATTGGAAACTCATTTTACACCATGGCAGTGTAGAATAATTGTTTCTGATGTGATACTCCAAACCTGTTGAATAACGCAGCTACCAATGGCTGACAATAGTCATGGTTCTCAGCTGGGAAATTACTCAATGTCATTAAAGCTGATCCTTTTAAATGAGTAGCAAAATGAATAACTTGTTGTCCAGTATTCCAACTTTTCACATTGAAAATTATTTCAAACTGAGCTTGATGGCACTTTTACATCATAGTATACTGGTTTCTAAATCTGGAAAAGCTGTTGAATTACTCAATTAAATTCTAGAACTGGATTTCAGAATGACATGGCCTTGAAGGTCTTGCAATAACAGATGGCACAGTAGTAACAGGTGCAGACCAAATAAAAAGTAAATGGTGTTTTATGCTGGAATTTGTGGGTGGATACAGAGAGATGTTGCCAACTTTATCTTTACTTTTACCAGTTTCTTTTCCAAATGTATATTTTGTCATTAATGGTATTTGATAACTCACTGAACTTGCTGTTATAATCTTTTTTCAGTCTTGTTGTAATCCATTTGAACATCTCCAATAGATTGGGGGATCTTGTCTTCAGTCAGATTTATATCAGTCTTAATTCCTTTATAAATACTACGTCTTTCTTTTAACTCTTCTCTTAAATTTCTGTCTCTTACCTCGTCTTTTATTTTTCTCTTTCTTCTTTCTATTTTTTAATCTTCTGTCTTTCTTTTCTTGACTTTCTTTCAACTGTTTCATTAACTCCAACAAGTATCCGATATCGCCTTGTGAGGTTATTTAAAAATTTGAAGTTTACTTAATGTTCTATTTTTTCTTCAAAAATGATCTCACTTCTAACGCAAGTGTTATAACATGTTCTATCGTTGGATGAGTTCTTTTAGATTATTTAGTGAAAATAAGATCAAGTGTAATTTACGTAACAGTAACAAATGAATTTATTTCTTCGTTAAAGTTTGCTGTAGACTATTTTCACTTTTGCACAGTTGCAGGTCTAAGTTCACAAATAACGTTTTCACTTTCAAGTTTCTGCAGAATGTCCTGACCGACTGATTAACCTAATAGACTACAAACACTCAACATATGCCATAATTCACTAACTTCTCCGAATATTCGTTCAGTATACAAATGAATACTTCACTGAACTATCTGCTTACTTGTATTTATAACTAATGTGCTCATCTAAAAAGAAAACACGTGCTCGGTTCCCTTTATGTTAAGCAAGGAGAAAACCGCAATAACTGGCGGCTAACGTATATACAAAATTTAGTTTCCTTCAGCTTTAGCAACTATAGTCTGCAAATAGTGTTACAACTTTGATTTTGTAGCCAACATGAATAACTAAAGGAAAGGGACATTCGTCTTATATTATCTAAATAATGAGCCTTTTAAGAAATGTATATGTTCTAAATATACTATATAGTTGTAAAATGTATCTTATTAAGTGTTACCATACTCGTGTGGCTTAATAACCACGTAAGTTATAACAAAAAATATTTCACTATTTTAATGCTGTAATTCCTGCTTCTGAATCAGAGAGGTCGCACAGCGTCTGATGTTATAGTTCCTGAAGAAGAGTAACAGAATGCGTGCTTGGGCAGTCTTGAGAGAACTCTACCAGTGGATATGAGGGATTACAAACAGCCAGTGTTCTCTGACACTCTGAGAGTCTGGAAATGAAATAAGCTTAATTTCATATTTAAACTAGATAACACATTTTTATATACATATTTTCAGGTTATTTTTTTAAATGTCTTGACTCCGCTCCAATTTCAGGTGCCACAGCAATGCTCTGACAGTACTACACTCCTGGTTCAGTGCTTCCTGAGAAGATGCCCTGGAAAATTATGTACCAACAACAGCTGTTTTGTGTTATAGACTAACACCAAAAGGTGCGTAAAATATCAGTGTGCTGGTTGAATACAAGTTAAAAATTCCAGAATAATTGAGTCAAATGGAATTGGCAGGAATTGAATAGTTTACTGGTGTTGAACCAAAGGAAAATATATAACGTCTATTAGAAGGGAGTGACTACTTTACAAACCCAGAAATATATCGTTCTGTTAAAAGAAGAAAAAAACAAAAACGTGGACCGTTACACCAACGGAACAAGAAACCCTGGTGATAGAGTACACTGTTATCAATGCAGTAGGAAATGTCGTACTCTTTATGCAAGAAATACCAAGAATATTTCACCAGAGGTGGTCCAATTGGTTGCATTGGGTCAGCCAATGGTTCAGTTTGGATGAGAAATGATTTCTTAATCTTTGAAAAACAGGTGTAGCCATCTCTTGACCACAAAGACCTACTATTTCTAGATAACCATGGTATAATTCTACTAAGTTTTCTGCCAGTAACATCTCATAAACTCCAATTATTAGACCATATAGTATATAGACCACTTAAGAATTTCAAAACAGCTGCAGATGCATGAATAAGGAATAATCCGTGTAGCAGAGTAACAAGATATGGCATTCCTGCCATCGCTACACGTGCTTTACCACAGGCTACTACACCAAATAACATTATGACTGAGCTTAGGTGTATCACCTTTTAACAGAGACATATTTGACTAAAGTGACTTGGGCGATGTTTTGGAATGTATGAAGAAATCCTAGAGGATCAAAATATCCCCATTTCTTTGAAGAAAAACATCATGGATCAGTGTGTACTACCAACCTTTACATATGGCTGTCAAACATGGGCTTTAACAAAAGAGATAAGGAAAAAGATAGAAACTACACAAAGAGCTATGGAAAGAAAAACATTTCATATAAAATTACAAGAGAAATGGCAGAATAAGAAACACAACAAATACAATGGATGCTGTAAGGTTCATTCTAAGAAATAAATGCAAGTTAGGTAGACAGACTTTGCTTTGAAAAGTCTGAAGCCAGCATATATACAGCAGAGTACTATAAATTCCGATAAAAGTACCATTCTGTAAATCTCTCCAAAACCAAATGAAGCTAACCACACACCTAAATTACCAGTCTCGTTGAACCCTATGCTAAATGCATCACCGTCTGGTTTGGTAATTTCAACTTCTAGGCTGGATTTAATTCTGTCATCACTACATAATGTTCAAAAACGTATATATTCTTCTCAAGAGATCCGCCTTTTACCACAATAATATATCAAACATAACGGCCGTGCACGAAAGCTAAGAAAAAAAAAAAGCACCCCGGACTGACACCCCAGAAAAAAGGATACGCTTGAGACTGAGGAAATAAAAACGGACTGGTGGGGAGGGGGATAGGCTTAGAGAAACCCTTCAATTACAATTTTCGAACATAATTTTTTTCGTCTAAAGAATCAAGTGTCAGTAACTTTGTAATTAAGCCTATTTTTTTTATAACTATTACTATGAACAATTGCCTAAATATTTTAAGCTAATAGGTGAGGTTGATCGATGATTTAATTATATTGTAGATTCTGCAGACGTAAGTAAATATATTAAAGTTTTTGTATTGTAGTTGGGGTTATATTTTTCTCTTGTACTGTTATCATACTTTGAAAGTTAACTACACTGGCATTACTGTTGTAGAAAAAACTCACAACATAATGTTTAAGAACTGTACCTCATTTACCAGTTTTATTTAGTTTAAAATAGTTGTATTAATTTAGATGAATTTTTAAATATATACGCATGGTTTCTCGAATAAACGATAAAAAACAATAAATCGACAAATATTTTTACAGACATGTTAACAGATGGCAGTTTATTGGCTGCGACAATTTTAAAAATGAAAACTTTGCCCTCCGTAGTTTCTAAAAGGCTGTGGGATATACAAACAAATAAAACAAAAAATCGTTAATATTAGAAATAACACACACTTGATAACAACCAACTGACAACATGGCCAGGTAGTTAGGGCGCTCGACTCGCAATCTGCAGGTCGCGGGTTCGAATCCCCGTCACACTATACAGGCTCGCCATTTAAGCCGT